AATTCAATGTGACAGAAGTGTCAATGTCGAATTGATTTTCGTTCTGTAACCTTAGATCATGTAAATACAAATACAAAATACAAATACAGATCATGTAACACATTGATTTGGATCGACACTCGAGAGATAGACCGCTTGAAGCACAATTTTAAGAACGACGCTCTCAAATATATGTTTTCGTGGATAAAATCATATATATATATATATATCTTGGGAGCAAACATTCATTTCCTCCCATGTGATTGATTTATAAATAGCTATTGATTTCAGAGTTACAAAATATTGTATTCAGAGAATCACGACAAAGCTACTTTGAATACACTACATTCTTATTGTGAATACAGTGTTTGAAGTTGCATCTCATTGGTCTAGACTAGACTCGAGACCAGGGATGGCCAAGAGGTCGACTGCAAAGGTGATTTACGTAGCACGTTAGAGTTGAATAAACTGAACAGAAAAATATGAAAACATAACATTACTTATTTTAATCGTAGTTTATTTTGACCGTTAGAATCAGCAACTTATCTGTTGTGGTCGAAGAAGAAATAATTAAAATGAGAAACGACCTCGGATGCGACATATTTCTGAAAGCTAGAGTATCTGGTAGTACAGATTTTTGGAAACTGTTTTGCAAAGAAAAGCTTTCATGCCAAAGAAAGCTGTGTTAGCGCCAGTTGCTCCATTTCCTTCTTGTGTAGACATGCCACATTAGCAATTATATTTTCTGGGAATGAGTACTTGATATAAAGTATTACTGATCAATCTGAATATCAACAATTATTAGTTAACAAACTGAGCAGAAAGGGAAACCATGTGGAAAGCGTCTATCATATTGTATCCTAGCTAATCATGAAATTATTAAAATTTATATTTCAGAGTTCAGAGTAAATTGAAAGTGATTAAAAGTGAATTCGCAATAAACTAATAGTTGGAATCATGGCATTCCTTGGACCAACTTGCCCATAGGATTAATCTAAGTATATTATAGAGACCTGGCAACAGTGGAGTGTTTCCAAGTCCTCACAAATTTCAACCAATAAAACTGCAAAGACACTGACGTCACAGCTCAGTAGCGTTTGAATTGACAGGTATTACATCTTCAATATTGAATAATTCATTTGTTGTTTGATATTTCCGATATATATGTGATCGGGATAACGTTTTTAACTACCCTGCATTACATTAAGGCGGAAAAAGGTAAAATTTCACGATACTGGAAAAGTCCATTGTCGAGGTCTAATTGATCGTTAACTAAAATTTTGCGTTTTATTTATTTTGAATGATTCCAAACGATTCAGTACAATTCCTTTATTTTCTAAATGTGAAATTTCGAAATTTTCATAAAAAATATCATTTTCTTCTAATATATGGTGGTATATGAATTTGTATTTTGTTTCATGAAAAACATCTATTGTTGACTGCAATCCGTTTAACGTGGCAAACTATTTTAGATCACACTTTTGATGATAACTACGAAATATAGCATGTATAAATAAAGAAATCGAATTCCATTATTTAGTACTTATCATTAGATATCCAGAAAACGAGCTTGGTGTCCAATGCAATCCGTCCAATCCGGGGTCCAATCTTATGCCAATATTCCTACTCTTGCAATGCAAATGTCCAATCTCGTATTTATAATATTCGATAATAGCAGTCCAATCCTACGTCCAATCTGTCCAATCCGAGTACGTTTCTGGGATAGTAGATTACCCTTCACCAAAAAACTAAACAATTTTAAAATTTCAATTCAATTCGATTAAGGACCAAGTAGACTTGACAATTTGCCGTTGTTGAATCAAAAAATTTACCCCGACAACACATGAATTATTCAATATTGAAAATGCAGTTTCAATACCCGTGGATTCAAACGCTACTGAGCTGTGGCCTAAGTATCTCCTCGCAATTTGATTACTGATGATGTGTACGTTTATTTTCATTTGTTCTAAAATTGTTCTTATCCATCATTCGGTTGCCCCCTCAGAAGTCTTCAAGAGACTTGTGCGAGCAAGAAATGATGGGGGTCTTACCTTTTAACGTGTGATCCCAAACACTTTCTTAGGCCATCAGAAAAATTTCTGCGGTCGTGGTGGGAATCGAACCCACCTACCGGCAATCCAACGTGGATAGAACATTGACGCTTTAACCATGAGGCTACGCTGGCCACACTTATATCATGCATATGTTGTTTTAAATAATTCTCAGTGTAACATTTTGAAACATATGCATATACATATCTAGATTTTTTGATAGTTAAACTAGAAAAAAAAACACAATTTTAAAATCCATGTTTAGTTATTGAATGTCTGTAAAAATGCAGACTGACGTAATATTGAAAGCCAATTGATTCTACCAAAAACTACATGATTATCACTATTTTTAAATAGAAAAATCAATGATGGCATATCGAAGGATGACTGATATCATTTGGATATATCCACGAATTTATAAAAGTTCAGAAATATCCTCGTACCTAACAACATAAACCATAAGAAAGATAATTAAGGTTGATGATGCTGGACAAAAACAGTGCCCGATAAATTAATCTATTTTTATAAGTACACTGTGACCAATGTACCTATACTCTGTATTTGTATTTTATATTATTTTTTTACATGACATATTTTTTAGAGTAAGAACCCCTATGAAAATGTAATTTTCCGTGGTTCAATAAAGACTTCTATCTATCTATCTTTGAAGGATTTGAGTGAGCACATTTCAAAACTATATTTATTTTTTAGGAAATTGTACAATTTATATTATAAAGTTCTACACTGTAGCAATTCTGACGCCACCTGTTCAAATTCCCATGCGGAAGGCGAAATAACGTGGAGTTCAAGCATTTAAATTGTTTCAAAGTGACGCACTTCTTTTTTTTTTGGGTTTTTGAGTTTCTCGTTAATTATAAGAATTATAAAAAATCTGATACCTTGAAAATATTCGTTAGACTGTATAATAATAATGTGCTGAATATTATGTACTTATTTCAAAAACACATCGTCTACAGTGTGTCCACGTAAAGGACTTACCACCCCTGTAAAATCGTCATCATCTGATCGATTTTAAACAATTTTCTTTGTTGGTTAGGCATTTGGAATGTCCATCAAAAGAGTGATTTTATTTTTGGACTGTTATCGTGGACAACGGCAACCAATTTTATTGACCAATATTTCAAAAACTAATATTATAGATTATTAGAGATTTACATGAAATATTGATGGATTCTGAATAAGAATAACTTGAAACATATTTGTACAGGATTCAGAACCCATCATTATTTTATGTGAATAAACATCCCTAATGATAATTTTTTAAATATGGCTCATTAAAATTGTCACAGTTGTCCACGATAACAGTCCAATAATCAAATCACTCTAGAAATCGATCAAATAATACCAATTTTACAGGGGTGGTAGATGCTTAACGTGGACACACTGTAGATACATATATATTTATTTTCAGCTTCTTGGTCTACATTTGAAGTACAATCTGCCTCAGACGAAGAGTGATTAGTATTTAAGATTAATTAATGAGGATGTGGACGGGTGTGATATAAATAATTATTGGATAAATTATTGGAAAAGAATCTTGTATATTGTGTCTGACTGTGAAAATGGAGAATGGGTAGTTTAATATATTTCATGTAATTGTTCTTATAAGTGAAATAATAAAGAACTGATGTCTAATATTTAATTTCGTTTGTTTTCACATATCCAACTAATAATAAAAAAATAATAATTCCATTTAAAAATAATGTATAATAAATGCGAAAATTTCAGTTTATCAATAAGAAACATTACTATTAATTTAACAATGAAACGAAAATCGTTAATGAAGTAGTCTAATGAATTATTGTTCAAATGAAATATCAACATACTAAATTCAAAGATGGCAGTATTTGGCAGGAGTTCACAAGTTTTCTGAAAAAAAAATTCTGGATCATTATGCTTTCCATGAAAATACCGTAATGTTTATGTTCCCAAAGTGTTCTTGGGCTCTGAACTTTCATAGGAGGTTTTTGTATTAAATTCCACATTCTCGATTAACTGGTTCATTTGCGGCTGAGAATTTGGAAATATGAATCTAGTTCACAGTTTATTTGGTTTGGATCTTCTCTTGAAGATGCGAAACTTGAATTTGAATGATGTATGAATTTTAAACCGAATCTTCGTGTATGAACATGTACAGAGGGAGATCCAAAGAGCCTCTATCTAAGCAATAATAGTTATTTTTGTATCTAGAGCGCAAAATGCTACTTTGGTGATCGAGATCTGATTATTTTAACGAGGAGTAGCCGAGTTAAAAAAATAGTCGAGATGAGCAAAGTATTTCGCGCTCGAGTTGCAAACAACATTTTTTCTACAAACGTCAAAAAATATAGTTCTAATGTGAAAATATGCTCAGCTAGATATATTAAAAATAGTGTTGAACTGGCTTTAAAGGCCTTCCCCTATCTTCCCTAGGTACGCACGATGTTCTACGAACATCCTTTCGTGCGCTCAAGAGATAAAACGAAGTTATTGTTGAACATTCAGGAATAAATAATTTCATGGACCATATAGTTGAAATGTAAATATCTCATCAATTTTACATTACAATGCGCGAAGTAGGTACTGTTTTACTTCGCGCATTGTTATGTGCAAGGTATCATGGTAACGAAGAAAACTGAAAAAAAGTGTCACTTCGCAGTTTGTTATCAATGCGCGAACCTTGTCATTTTTTGACGTTTGTAGAAAAACATATATTATTCATGTCATATCCTTGCAACTTATTGAAACATTCAAAAACGTCAAAACAAAAATGGAAAATCAAGTAAGGAACGCACACTTTCTAGAGTTCGACCAGGTTGGGATATCACATGATTCAATGTTACAAGACCACGTGCTGTTCCAAAGCTAATCTGGTCGGATTTTACCTATTCTCCCTACCATTTGAAAATGGTAGATCTTAATTTAGGAGGAGAGGAAACATGTAATTTTTAACTCACCAATTAAATTGAATCACAATGAAGCTGGACAGGTCGATGTTGATATTTTATTGTTGATTGTTGTCTCCCGCATCACTTCTTCCAATGGGCGACTGAGTTCTTGTTTGGGCGGCGGAACATTCATATCCGAAAGGATCGTATTCGGCGAATTCTGATAATATAGAAGATCAACAAGGTGATTCAGATCAAGGTAATGAAAATTGGTTAAATAGTTCAACCGATATCGTTCCTCGTTGCAGAGGACGATAGTTATTAAAAAGCGGATATCCTTAGCATAAACTTCGAACGCTTCGGAGGCTATTCACTGAAATGTTCCTGTTTCGGTCGCATGATTATGTTGATTTATATTAATGTTCATCAAGGTGGATATAGTACATGGTGAGGCAACTTTTATCGCCAGCCAAAAACGTTGGCTTTTTGTCAACTTAATAACGTCATATTTCAATCATACCCAAAACATCGCTAATATCTCACCAAGGTCTCAAAGATGGTGCCTAAAATCTCAATCAATGCGATTTTAAAACTGTCACCTAGCTGTCATATATACTGAGTAGCGGCAACAGCAATCAAAACTACAAATGTTCAGTTACCTCAATCAATCCTCATTTTCACTGGATCTGGAGAAATCGGCACAGCAATGAGTTAGACGGTCAAGAAACTTGAAAAAAAATGTATAATTTATGATGGCCATTGAAAATACCGAATGTTTTGAAACAAATAGTGTACAATTCAATTAAAAGCTAGAAGTAAGCAGTTACCTAGCCCTACAATAAAAATGAATTTGATAACCAAATAATGTATCGCCGAGACAGAAATATGTGCGACGTTTTGTTTTTAATCAAATACAGCTTTCACCATCTACTTATACCCACCTAATTCCAGTAATTGGCCTCAGAAATGCATATCTGGATGATCTATAAAAGATATTCAATGGGTACTATGGGTAAAAAAACAATATCAATTTCTGAAAAATATCCATCCAACTGATAAACTGATATTCAGATAATTGAATGTTATTTCGAAAATATTACAATAGTTTCTCATAGCAATCTCGACTCAATTTCTTTTTTTTTTTTTCTCAACATTCGGTAAAGAAGGTAATCTACAATCTTGAATATTCAATAGGGTGTTGATGAAACTGTTATTGAATTTTTGACATTCAACAATTACATTGTGTTGTTATTCCATTTGAATATGTTTCCATTTTCACGATGATATAATATTCAAGGCATTTTTTATTGAGAGTGATTTATGTTTCATCGAAAACTTATTAAGAAAAATTTCCAGAATGGATCGATAAGCAAGTTATAACTTATTTTGATAATTTTCTTTTTAATGCCATGTCATTTCAGTATGGATCATTTTATTGGAGATTATTCATTTAGGAGCAGAAAACTGATAATTGAAGAATATTGATGATTAATAGCTACTATTCGATCAACAATGCAATGCTTTGGTTCCGCAAAATGTTGATTCATTTCATGGCCACCCACGGTTCAGAATGAAAAACAGTAAATTCTCATTTTTCAGTGTATCTGTAGAAACACCATCATACCTATTTAAGTGTATTTTGGATTCGCCTTGTTTTCACTAAAAATATCATAACGCTGTGTTATAGTAGACCTAGTTGACGATGGAAATTGACAATTCACAATATTTCTCAATCGTACTGTCATTGTTACTAAATTCACAACAGCAACGACTGTCATAAGGGTCCGTCTATCAGTCACAAATTGAAACTGCAAACTAGCTGACTGACAGATAACATTGACTAAAGGTCAAAGTCATTGTTAAGACACTCACTGTAGCTCTGAGGTATGTGAATGTTGGCAGAACATCTGTATTGTTAAGAAGGAAACTAGATTGATGTAAACCACGGAAATATACAAATAGTAGCAGACTTTAGAAACATTGAATGCAAATTATTGTCAAGAATTGTGAACAGTTTCGAAAAATCCTACTGGGAATAAAAAAACCCGAGAAGAACTGATGCAGTGACTTGGAGACGAAAGGAAGCAACTTTGGAAGGCAAAACAACAGCTCTTCACTTTTGAAAGAAACTCAACGCCTACTTTACGCCCTTGATACATAAATAACTATTATGAGTCGAGTTCTCATTAATACTGCTTGGAGTTTCAAACTAGGTTTTACACGAACCAAGGAAATCTCAAAATTAGCTTCTTTATTTCGAAATCTAACATATGTTGCAGTCGCGAAAGCCATTTCGTTAGCATCACAAAACCCATGTTGTTTTGTACTTCTATACTCTGAGGTTCGCCCAAATTTGAATATTTTCCGTAATATCTTGGCATCTTAATCAGAGGAATGAGCTCATGTAGATGATTTATTCATTTTCTCCATCCAATTGTGATTTTCCATATTTCTTGCAGTGGATCAAAAATTACATAAAAATTTCAAAATTGTCAATTCTTTCACGAGAAAATAACGGAATCATTGACTTTTTCAGCCTGTTCTCAGATTATTGTGGTGAATTGTTAATTGTTACGTTCAATTTCACTTTCATATTTATTTTCAATATCGCTGAGATTCATTTACATTTCCAATTCTGTAAGTTCTTTACCTCTGATATGTCTCTCCACCCTCAAAAGCTGTTCCTATTGATCTGTTTTTTCTTCAATCGCTGCTAATCGTCTGGCAGCATCAAGATGAATTTTAGATTGCTCTTTACTAGGAGTATTCGACTTTTTGTTCACCGTTTTTAACGATTTCTGTGATTTTATCTGTATCTGAGATAACCACCAGCTATTTGACTGGTACTTTCTCCCAATCTATCCATTTCATGGAACAGTTCAACAGAGTTGAAATTATTCAATGCTCGAAGGACCACTGTTGAAACTCCTGTTCTGCTTTTGACTATTTAAAATCTTTTTCTATAATATTCAAATGAAAATCTTAATGACAGAATTCTGACCCTGACAACAGTCTCATTTCCTGTCTACCGAATATCGTCTGATTTGGAAACAGTGGTTGAAAGAGTACTCACCGGAAATTAATCAAAGGAAAAAATTACATGACAAGAAAGTATCAATCTACCTACGAATACTTGGCCACTTGGAAGAATAACAAAAACGTACCCAGATAAAAATGGAACCAGTACGAGTGGTGAAATTAAAACAGATAATGGAGTTTACAAAAGACCTGCTATCAAGATCACTAGAAAGCATAGAAATCATATTATACAGGATGATTCAGATTTTAAGGTTCAAACTGAAATGGGTGATAGACCTCATCATGTTGATCAAAAAAGTTTATTTGAACATGAGTCCGATCTTGATCAGTAGCGGAGCTACAGGGGGTCAAAGTTTATTTATTTTCTATAATTAATTAAAATTTATCACTCACTTTTGAAGACATCAAATTGACATTTGATGTGGTTAATACTTCCTTGAAGATCATAATTTTGAGCATTTTGAAGATTTTTAATATCTACAGGGTTATACGTTTTCACGGGTAGAGGCTTCTTCCAGTTACCAAATTGGGTCGATCATTCAGTTTAGAGGCTTTTTCGCACTTTAAGATTTCCGAGAAACGAACCGTTTTCTAGATAAATAAGATCATCCTTTCTAGAACATGTTGATTTTGCCTACGTTTCGCTTGCCCAAAATGCGTTAAAAATGTAATAGAATGTACTGAAATTGTATTGTTTGTTTTCAAGCAGATTGGACTAATGCTTACAAAAACATTGCAATTCAATTACCTTTTTTTGAAGTTTTAACGAATTTTGTACAAGAATGAAATTTGAGCGAAACATAGGCAAAATCAACATGTTTTAGAAATGATATGCATATTTATCTCGAAAACGGTTCATTTCTCGAAAAAAATTTAATAGCAAGAAAAACCGCTAAATTGAACAAACTACAAATTATCCATGAGAGAGAAAAAATTGCCGGAAAATAATTAAACCTCGATTGGTAGGAAAACTTCACACCATTTTGCTGACCCCTGCTGCACACATATCTACTCATCCTTCTAATTCGTTTCTAACCTCCGTGGCCTTCTGATGAAGGTCAATATGTCCGTCCACCTTAGGTTAATTAGATCTTCCTGTTGAAGCATATCAGCACCAAAGATTTCGAATCTTAGCCTTCCAAACGCTTTGCACTGGCCCAGCTAGTGGTATATGACATACCATATCGTATAATAGATGCAGTTTGGACACCAAATTATTCTTAGCCTATTGATCGTTGATTTCTACTCATAGTAGTAGCACAAAATCACTATTTTAGGACGTCACAATATATTCTGTCATTAAAAAGTCAAAAAATCTCCGATTTATTTATCTGGTGCTGGTGTACATTGCTATGGTGATTTGTCAAAAAACCCAATTTGGTTGATTTAACAATACAGGTGTGGGATTTTCATTGAAATATTATAAACAAAGACGATATCAAATAGTCAAGAAGAACAGAATTTTCAACAGGAGGCTTTACTAAAGTTAGTTAGAAATTTACCGCCACAAGAATAATTCATTGATTTTTATAATCCCATTCTAGCTAGTCAGTGGAAATATATCACTAAGTTTGATGAAAACTAGTCCGTAGAAAACTTCCCCATTCAACTGATTTATGAACGGGCAGACATAATGGCGTCAGTACACGTTGAAAAGTTGATATCATTCTCAAGAAATATTCGTTGCTATGATTAAATATCTTGTAGTTCAACTGAAATGCCCCAGTTTGATATAGTATATAAATTAAAAGTAATTAACTACCTCAGAAGGCTACGACGGCCTATTTCATAAAATCTATAAAAAATATATTTTTCTCGACAAGCAGGTCGAAAAAAACTTATCTCATTACAAATATCTGATATAGATCATCCTGTACAATGTTTCTAAAGTATGACACACCATTTAGCTCACTGTAGAACCACAACTTTCATAATCATTGAGATACCGGGTGACCACCGATTTAGATGCATACATACCGTGCGACCTATAAGTAAGAAATGAACTATGAACTCATTTGAAATTCTGCCAACAATTTCTGGAAGTACAAACACGCCAACCAATTTTTCGAATTTTGTATTTTTTATACTTGTACTATACCAGGTGTGCCAAGTTATTGTATACAGGCAATATCTCCCTTATTCGACAAAACAATTTTAGAAATAAAACAACTGATTTGAATGGCATTAAAGTACCTTCCGAATGTCGAGCATTCCTTCCTTCCTTTGAAAAGAATGTATTGCATTTAACAGCCCTGTGGTATGAAATGCGATAGCACATATTTCGTTTATCAATAACAAAAACATTAACATTTTGTGACTTTTCTCAAAATTGCATCAGCCCATGTTTTTAGAAACATAATAGTATATCAATTTTTTTTTGCTTTTCATGTCGAAAAATCAATGACAGATATTCCATTGTACGGTACCTAGTGTCATTTCTACTTCTTTTTTGTGAGGAAAAAAGTTACAAAATGTTGATGTTTTCGTTGTTGTTAAGAAACAAAATATCAAGTAATTGCTATCATTGAATTCTAAACAGTAATTTTCAATGACAATATACAGGTCAAATGTACAATCGTATTTAATAAAAAAAGCGTTCAAGTATTAGAAAGAGAGGTTACGTCATTCTAGTTCTAGTTGTGTAAAACTGGCTCAGCCAATGATGCTTTGTGCTCTGAGAACCTATGACAACTTTACTGTCAACATTTGGTAAACAATCATTCCCGATATCCCGTTTTACGCAAATAGGATGACGTTAATTTCTCTCTCTGATATACTTATACGCTATTTTTTAATACAACATTCAATCAGTTTTTTCATTTTTTAATTATCTTCTCAGATAAGCAAGATATTGCTTGTATACCTGGGAGACCCGGTATGTATGATATGTAATATATGTTCTTTGAATGAAATACAGCATATTTCTGAACATCACTATACATTATACATACACTGTATACTGCGTGTGTTTAGATATATTTAGTATAAGTTTAGTATAGTATAAGTATAGTTTGAAATATTCATATAGGGTGAGTCGGAATAAAATCAATAGGATGATTTTCTCAGTTCTCAATATCCAAAAATCATTAGGTGGTTTGATATCATCTCAATAATTCATTGATTGTATTCAATATTCATTTATTGCAATATTTCCGTTTCAAGATTTATTTCTTACTCATGGGCCGCATAAACAATATTCAATGTTTGTTGACCAACAAATATTGAAAGTCGATAAACTGTATATGTTCATGATACTTATACAGGGTATATCTATATTTGAGGATTTAAAAGTAGCACAATTCTGAAAATTCGTAGGCACAGTGAAGGAAACATGGAGAATCCAACAAACATATTTTCGTTATTGTAAAGCTTCAAGTTTTTTCGGAAGTGGCGTCATCTTTGTTATTTTCAATGGGGTACACCCTGTATATTACATATACCATAAATAGTACCTTATTCTGCAATAACTGGGTGTTATTTTGGATGATTCTAGTAGGCTGTGCAAAATATCTATCAACAAATGAATTAGAGTTGTTTACTGTTAGATTCATCATCTGTAAAATTGCAATATGGCCCATGTTGGGTATTATAATGAAGATATCTTTTCATTATATTCGACTTGAATCACTGATACCAACATTGACGAATTATTTATTCTTCTACCCAACACGAGCCATTTTTTACACTCTTGCAGATGATATGATGAATCTCTGATTCATTTGTCGATAGATATTTTGAACAGCCTACTAGAAAAATCCAAAATTACAGGTAGTTATTTCAGAATTGAGTACTATTTACGGAATATCTCCGAAATTATGGGTTTTGGGTATCGGGGAGTCAAGTGAAAGTAGGGCTTATTTTTATAATAGAATTGAATCATGATAAAAAATTAACTTTTCATTAAAAAAATTGAGATTTTCAATGTTCCACGTTCACTTTTTGGAACCACTTTTATGCGCACCCTGTAAATAATTCAGTGGTTGTGATTATAATGAGTGATCCGTTCAACCTTCAATATTCACTATTCAATCACTGCATATCACTAAAAATTGTGATTCACATTGAAATGGCGTATGTTCAATAAGGCTGCATTTGTCACTTTTCGTAGTGAAATTCGAATAACCCGAAATAGGTCCTTTTTAGGTAACGGGTATAATACATTAATTTGAATCAGAATCATGAGTGGAATTCAAAAATGTAATAAAATACAGTTGGTCCTATTGAAAATAACAAAGATGACGTCAATTTCGAAAAAACCGGAACCTTCACAATAACTGAAATATTTTAGTTGGATTCTCCATGTTTCCTTCACTGTTCCTACGAATTTTCATAATCGTGCTACTTTTAGTTTTCCATACATAAATCGAAGATATATAGCTACGTCATTTATACACTTCCGATGTGTTTAATGCCAAGTAATCTGGAAAGCGCGAAGCAGATGGCACTGGTGAAGTTAGACGTTCTGTCAGCTGTCATTCTTCATATAATCGTTATTGAGATGTCTCAACATTATATTGTGCCTTTGTGTGCATCGAGAACGTTTGGAAAGTGCACAGAATACGGATATGGTATATCACAACCTCAATTCTTATTCGTTTAGTTTTTAGCAATATCATACATCCCTGCCATTCCATCACCATTATATACATAGTTTTAACAAAGTGTTATTAAAACCCGAGGAAAATAAGTGGAGTGGTCATCCGGTATAATTTGCATTAGCTTTTATAGGTTGATTACCGAATTTCACAACATATTTTTCTTTACACACGTATCAGGCATTTATTAAGTACGGCTCAATTAATTGTCTTCTATATCTAAAGGTTCATTAATTCTAAATCTATCTAAAGCTATTCTAATATGACTAATATATAAAAAAGCATGTTTTGAATGTACGAATGACACTGAGGACGTAGAAAACCACTCACCAATGTTTATTGGAAACACCAACTCTCTACAGTTAATGTTTTATATTGGTATAATTTATCAAATCCGAAAAATGAGTGCATTTATCTGGATATGTCACATACATAATATTATATCAGTATACAGGATGATTCATGAGGAGACCCACATAGCCAAATAGTGAATAGGGGAAATCAAGACGGGTAGATGTATACCGGGTGTCCCAACTCAGTTTTTACACGCATTTTCTCGAAACCGGGTGACATTATCAACGTTCTGAAAAAATTGGCTTGAATGAGGACGTGTTCCACAAAAATTGGTCATCAAAACTACCCCTCGATAAACCACCTCTTAGCACATATATCACTAACTTTATCAAATTAGTTATGCCATCACGCGTGAACAGAGCTTCATTTTTTGTTCTTGATACACTTTTGCAAGTGATATAAGGATGCATTTGCTATTTTTTCAATATTCCTAATGTTCACCATCGTCAGGGTTTCACTTCTAAGTATTCTTGGAGCTGGAAATCTTCTATAATATTAAACATTGCAGCATTTGAATTTTCGTCTTGAGATATAGAGTGGTATCTGGAGTGCAAGAATATTTCGAATACCAATAATTACCTATCAACAAACGCCACGTCACAACATGAAATAAAAACAGGGTCTACTTCATAACAAGTCACGAGTAAGCATATCTATATCTAGAATTTTGATCAAAAACTAACATTTCAAATAATCAAAAAATTCAGAACTATACTCTCTTTTATACATTTTTATCCTTAAAAAATGTGCGAGAAATGAATTTACATGAATCCAGTTGAATATTAAGAGTTATCAGCCAGGTCGAAATTGTAAATTCATTCCAACGATTTTGTTCCATATTTTGTAATTGAATTGGTCACAGTGTGCCGTGCAAATGGAAGAGCAGATCTTATGGCATTTTGTATGGTCTTTCTGAATCTGATAAAATGTTTGCAGAAAATGATCAATAATCACAAAGTGAACTTCTTTGATAACAATAAAACATGAATTTTTTCCAAGTCCGGATCTGTATTTTTTTTTCATAATATGCTATCTTGAATAGTTTCAGAAGAGAAACGTCGCTGTCAAATTTCAGGAAATTACGATGATACATTTCTGAAATAGCGGCCAAAAGTTATATGGCAATGTTACATAATATCCTTCATTATGGATGGCTAAAAAAATCTCATATAAATATACATAAACTCGTCTTGATTTCCCCTATTCACCTTTTCACTATACGAGCATCCTCATTTATCACCCTGTATTTCACATGGTAAATAAACTATGAGAAACTAAACAAATAAGAAATATCAATCTGAGTATGGTAAGGTTATCACATTTTTTGAAGTTGCACTTAATGTTACAATGTAATAATGAGGAGTATCCATTGAAGAATGTATCCATTTTCGACCATTCAAGTTGAAATTTTGAAAAATACGATGATTCCAGAAAAAAAAAACTATAAATTACCCTTTCGAAAATCTATGTTATATTTTCATATGTTTCCAACCCAATCAGTTGAATTTCTATAATAAACTAACCTATCACATCACGTCGATTCCAGCTACCTCTATTCACTATCCTTGCTGACACACATAACTATATCCGTCAAGATAAAATATGGAAGCAGTTATCATGTTAGTAACACACATAATATAGGCATGATCCACAAACTTACTGCGACATTGTGAACAAACACTCTGCATAGTAGCCAGCATGAAATTTCTTGCCTTGTGTGTGAAAGATCGAGTTTACCATGACAAGAAAAAAAAATGAAAAAACATGTGAAGAATGAAAATGTGGTAGCATGTTAAAAGTAATGCAATAAGGGAGAATAAGAAACAATATAACATACAGAACAAGTTTTAAGACTCACCTTATCAAATGTGCTCTGAGAACCTAATTTTAGATGAATCTTCTGAGAACAAAGATTTTTCAACACTCCTATACCTGTAAATAAATATATTGTTTAAGGGCTTTCACGCTGGGTTGATAGTTGCGCAATACTTGGTAACAATGTCATACCAAAACTGCACATCGAAAAATACTAGTAACTTTCCAAATGGACGAACCGCGTTATCGATTTAAGTTGGCAAAACTGTACACCGATGCCAGATTTATTTAACATTTCTAGAATCGATTTGTTGTGATCAGCTGATCTCGGCGAATTATTCATTACTGACAATTTGTACTTTCAAGGAATTGTTTATTTGTGGATCATAGGTGAAATTCGATTTATTCAAAATGCTTAAACCATTGACTGTGTAGGCGCAGAAGATGGTCCATTACTTCCAATGACTGCTGTGAGAGATGTAAGTTGAATGATGGTATTAATAATGATATTTTGTGTTGTCCGAATGATCCAAATATGATTTGTGTTAGTTTATTGTAATGACATAGTGGTTTCATGAGTTTTTGTGGGTTTTCCTCATGAATTATATTGAGAATATTGAAGTAAGAACAACTCTTGTTGTATATTTCATAATTTCCAATATGAGTAGATGCACCACTATTTATTTTCCCACGAAATAAAATCAATTGATCGAATTTCTATCTTATTCCACTAATTTATAGTAATTGAAAAACATTCAAAACGATTAGATAACCTCAAAATTGAATTCGAAGTTTTTATTATTTTCACTCAGTTAATGTGAATACTGATCAGTTTTATCAAAAAAAATTAATTCAAGACATAATTGTGTATTGGTAGAAAAATAAGTTATTTCTAATGTCAATATCTGTGATTATTTGTTGATGTTGTTATATAATAAATCATTCTTCAAGTTATTATTCTTTATAAGAATTTCATTATCATAAAATTTCATATTCAGTATATTGTTTAGGTGCATGGTTCATCAAATACAAATATTGAAGTTCATTTATCAACTTCGAGTGCTGATTTTGAAACATAAATGGACGGATTTTGAAACATAAATGGACGGCTTTTGAGTTGGTTCCAAAAAACATTATAACGTCCGACGATCGTAACACTAGACATATCCATATTCGGGCAGTTGGTCATTCAGTCATTTCTTTTCAACAGGCAACACTGTATGTGTTGGCATATTGACGTCACTATCAACCCAGCGTGAAAGCCCAGCAGAATTGGAAACAATAACTTAACTAACTACTACCAGAGAATAACTTAGCAGTTACTTGTGCAGGATATTGAGAAAACTGTAGTGACTATTCTCAAAATTGAGTTCATATGAATTCAAACGAACCAATTCTACAACTGAATTAAAATGTTTCCAAAATTAAACGCACTAATTTGGAATTTGAGGTTGAAAAGGTATAGAAATAGAAACCTTGATTTTAATTTGCCAATGAAGACGTTTCACTGGGGATGTGTTATCCATTCAATTCTGAGGTTACATACAGGGAGGTCTGGAAAAATACTCACTTCCCCCCACTTTCCTAACCAATCGAATATAAATAGAGAAGGTAGGGAAAGTGATTAGATGAAATGAAGTTTCTCTCGATTTTAGCGCCTTCTGCGGAAATAAAAAATGATGTGAAGCAGGATATTGATTAGTGTGTATTCTTTTGATTTCTTAAATGGACCTAATATCGTGATATTATACTAAACTCATAAAAGCATTTGAAAAAATGAATGGATTTGAACTAATAATACTTCTAACTTGTTGTACATTTTACTTAAAGTATTCAAAATATACCTTCATCTCGTTTATTTCCATATTTGGTTTCCCAAGCATCAAATAACCTGTTGTAATATCTAGGCTCCATGAAATTGAGATATTTGTGGGAATGACCATTGGGAAATATTTTCTCGAATCTTCCTTTGATAGCATATTCATCTTCAGCTTTTGTTAAATGTCGAATGTCGTCCCCTGTCAAGTTCTGCAGGATATCCTGTAAAAATATAATCAATTCATATACACAGCCAATATTATACACAAGGAACCGTCCTGGATGCAGAAATCTTGGCAATCATTCCATCGCTACCAATACCAGTCAGGTGAACTTGACAAGCTCAGTTAGCACATCCTTTTGATCACAACCCCGAGATTTTGTTTACAATTTTACCTAACAGTTTATTGTGAAAAGAATGCTCACAAAAAGACAGGGATATTTGAATCTCCTCATACTTTGATATTATCAATAATCTCATCATGAAGCAGATTGCCTCAGACAGAGATTATTAGACCTCCAGATCTCAACCAGTACAGCTGCTATTTGTTCGGGATTGTGAACTACGTGCATTAGCAAAGATTTTTCTTTCATATGATAAATATGATGATCTTGATATAATATGATAAATAATGTCCGTATGTTAATCGAGGAGGTATATTCATTATTCGAGATTTTATGGGATTTTCTCTCCTGGTTTTTATAAAATGAAAATATACGTGTTGTGAGGAAAAATCAGATGATGTCACTGCGTTTAAAACTGTTTTTTCAGAGAGCCTTGTAGGTAGTGAGAAAATATCGAACTTTTACTTATCTATGGAAGTTTCGGGAACGAATATTAAAATCATTGGAATGAAGATAACAACCACAAGAGAAAAATCAAGGAATCCGCTTGCAATCTTCTGAACAGAGATAATAGCATTTTTTTTTTTTTTTTTTTTTTTTTTTATCGATTGGAGCGCACGAAAGGGAATCCCTATAATGTTGATGAAGCAACATGGTATTCATGAAAATGCTAAAATATGAACATGAAAATGGTAAATTCAGAATTAACTAAAAAAACATCCTGTAACTCATTCGCTTGCCAACGTCACCATTTGTCACTGAGAAGTGTCAAAACTATTATCTGAAGACAATTTGTGAGAATAATATTTTCCATTTTTATGTTAAAATCGAGAGCAGATTCGTTCCCGAAACGTCCAAAGATAAGTGAACATTTGATTATTTTTCTATATTTATACCTACATTTCTCTTCTCCAAACCATTTTGAAAACATAGTGTCACTGTCAAGCATCTGAATGTTTCTTTCAGGCTCTGTCTGTCCTCACTATACATATTGTTACGTTATTCGGGTGCAGAAGTGAACACGACAATATTTATTTTCGAACTGATTTATTTTTAACATAAGAAACACTAATTTATATCGAACTTATAACTACTATTTATGTAAAACGATTTATATCACGCGGTATATGACTGTCTCTCTGACACTCGCTGCTTAACTGACTGACGGCAGTTGTCCGACCGTTTATATGAGATCCGTTGGTAGGCTTTGGTTCGAGAACGTTCTCGAATGATCTTCCGTCTCCTTCTTTTTGTTCTATACCTTTTCAACTTCAATTTCGGAATCGGTGAGATATATTTCGGAAAAAGTAATCTCGATTTCAGAATTCGTTAGTTCGATTTCAGAAATGGTAAACTCAATTTCAGAATCGGTGAGATGAATTTCAGAAAAAGTCCATTCAATTTCAGAAATGGTAAGTTGTATTTCAAAATTATTATTGGTAGGTTCAATTTCAGAAGATGAAATCCTTTTATATGTTTGAAATGTTTTTAATTGCAAAAGAGAAGATTGTTTACAGTGGATGAACGGTGTTTGGGAGCCCTATGTTGAATCAGATTGAACATACAGGGTCGCTGATATGTATGGAAACAGGTGAATATCTCGGCAATCTGTTGTTAGATTTTTTTGAATTTATGTACAGTGTGATTTCAAAACGTGGCGGATTTGAAAATGTTATAGCCTCTGTTGCCACTTTTTCAGTTATTCCGGATTTTTAGTAACTTCCTTATTTTGAATGAAACACCCTGTACTTTATTGGATTTCCAGATTCTCCTTGAAGAGCTGATTCCATCGATCTATCACACTTGGGGTCGAGCGGGAATGATTACATAGGTATAGGGTGTTTGAAATCTAGGTTTTTCGACTTCAAGATTTTTTTGTGTAGAAACTATCCATTATCGATCGAAACCGCTTCAATGTTCCTATCTTCACTTTCGATTTACCATCTACTGACTATTTAATTGGAACAGATACAAAGGGTGATCAGAATTCTGAATCTTGAACCACCCTGTATTTGTTTCAATTAAATGTCAGTAGATAGTGAATCAGAAGTAAAGATGGGAACATTGAAGCGGTTTTGATCGATAATGAATAGTTTCGACACAAACAATACTAAAGTTGAAAAATCTAGATTTTAAACACCCTATACCTATGTATTCATTTCTGCTAGACCCCAAGTGTGATAGATCGATGGAATTAGCTCTTCAGGGAGAATCTGAAAATCCAATAAATTACAGGGTGTTCTATTCAAAATAAGGAAGTTAATAAAAAATCCGGTATAACTGAAAAAGTGGCAACATTGGCTATAACATTTTCAAATCTGCCACGTTTTGAAATCACACAGTACATAAATTCGAAAAAATCCAACAACAGGTTACCGAGATATTCACCTGTTTCCATACATATCAGCGACCCTGTATATGGGGTGCCTTCAAGTCAGAAGTGAAGAGCTTCTTGCAAGAGCATCGCCAAAGGGTCATAGCTGGGGATCCGAACAGCTTGCTCAACCAGATAGAATTCAGACTGCGATGTCTTGAGGAATGTGCAGATCGATCATTTAATGAAATTGATAACACCTCAAATGTGTTTTCATTCTCATAATCATGTGCAACGCTATTATCTTCCAGCGATTCGGATGGAAGGCATCTGTGGATTAAATTGAGATTATAATTATGTTATTGAATTGTTTTTGACAAGTTGAATATTGAAAATATGGTTTGTTAATCTCACATACAATTGGAAACACTTCGAATATAAGGATTTTTTTTCTGAAATTGAACCTACCAATTCTGAAATACAACTTACCATTTCTGAAATTAAATGGACTTTTTCTGAAATTCATCTCACCGATTCTGAAATTGGGTTTACCATTTCTGAAATCGAACTAACCAATTCTGAAATCGAGATTACTTTTTCCGAAATTGAAGTTGAAAAGGTATAGAAGCTTCTTAGAACAATACCTCTCTCTCTAATTGTTCCATCGATTGTTTCCAGAACATTCCAGAATCTTCTGTCACGTTATTTGTCACCGCGGCATATATTGAGTGTTCGGAAATATGCTGGTGCATGTAGGAATCATTGGGAGGTTGGAGAACAATCTGGGATGCGTGTTAGGATGATCGTTGTACTCCTGCCTTCCTGCTGATGTTTCTAGAGCCCCTCTAAGGGGAATATCATTACACTATATTGAAATAATACTCATATTTTTATTTTATAGAAACGAGGAGAAAATTCCAAAAAATCTGGAATAAATGATTAATGATGTTGAAGTTCATCTCATATGTTTCCATCCGTGGTGCCACAACCACTAACTAGAAATACCCGTGCTGGTAAAACAAACATGGAACTTTCCATAAGCCTGGATTAGGGGTGGCCAATGGCAAACATGAAATCGACTTTACCATTACAGCTTTATATTTGAAAGGATTCTTTAACAAATAAACTGATAGGGAAAACTTGTGAGCAATATTCTACCCGAAATGAAATGTTACAGAAACGACTTTAAAAAAGGTCAAAGTAAATTTGGAGAGTAAAGGGTGAGGTAAAAATTCCAAACGATGGAGGCGGAGCCTAGGCAGAACTCTGCAACTAATGAGAGATAAAAAATGCGCGCGTCTCACTTGTATGTAAAATAGTAAATTAGACCTTGGCTTGGCCACAGTATATTATCCTTTCACGTGAAAGGATAATATACTGTGGCTGGGCCGCTTCAGTTTGGCCGACACAGCACAGACTTTGGCCTAATATTTGCTACCTACTTACCGTTCTAGGTCATAGATTTTTTTTAGATATGATATAGGCTCAGATATAATAACCTGTGTATGTACACTGCTTCCCAAATAAATCGTAACGACTCTTGAGCTATGTTGGTATATTTTGTTTAAGCCCATGTACTATTCATAGTTTAGGAACGATGTCGATCTACCCAAGGGTACACCTCATTAGCATTTTATTATTCCATTATTACATAGAATGAAATGTGCATTCCATTTAATCAAACATTGACTACTTGGAACTGGGTTGATTCAAATGAAACAAATGGCGTGCAATTTTCAAATAACTCAACTACCCTTAGGAATACGACAATGTCGATCTACCCAAGGGTACACCTCATTAGCATTTTATTATTCCATTATTACATAGAATGAACTGTGCATTCCATTTAATCGAACATTGACTACTTGGAACTGGATTGATTCAAATGAAACAATTGGCGTGCAATTTTCAAATAACTCAACTACCCTTAGGAATACGACAAAGTGATTAGCTTAGCGACATGAACAGCCGACGGTATTGAAATCGAAATCGGGATGAACGTTCCGTTCGCACAATTCTGAACAGCTCACAAATACATGATTTGCAACAGAAACACATTTGATGTGAAAAAATGTTAAAAATTACTGGATTTAAATATATTCCTTATAATGCTGGAGAAAAATCTATTGTTTGTGATTCATAATACCAACAAATTCAGTGATTTTATTCAGATGGTTTTATCATGCCTCCATATTTCAATCGCATACACCTTTCAGAATATTTATACAAAAAAGACAAAATAATGAACAAGGAGTATTGTGTAGATTGCAGAACTCTACCAGTCTGCATATCCGTACCACAATCAAACATCTTAATAATAATTAAATTGAATCTAGAATAGCTATTATGTTCCAACAAAATTCAGGATGAATAGTCATTATTTTACCTGTAAATAATCCTCTCTGTTCTCATACTGGGTGAACAATACATGTTTGTGCTTCTCTTTTTTCGTCAGCGAGCATGTATAAAGTTTTGGATCATAGCATTGGGGTGCATCAACAAAAGTCTGTCCCAGCTTTTGAGGTAGGTGGAATAGAGCCATATCAAATAGCGTCTGTACCATGGGACCTTTGATGTGCGCATCCAAAGGTGAACTGCTATGGAGACTGGGAGAGATGTTGACCTGCGTTAAATAAGATTAATGGTTTCGCTTACTGTTTAATCGACGATATGAAAATGTATATCAGTTTGCTTCTGAAATTCGATTGTCTACTAAGGAGATATACATATTGTGTCCAAGATAAGGATGTATATCATGGGGTAGAGTTGATGATGGTTTCTCCAAAACGAAACATCGTACGGAAAATCTCTAAACGCTGTTTTGTAGAGCATAAAAAGTCGCAATGAGAAGGTGTCTTGTTTTCCTATATCTCTTTAATTAACGTCAGAAAAAAACAAATACCATCCCCATGATAGACATCCTTATCTTGGACACAGTGTATAAGTGACTACATATACAATTAGATACCGGGTGATCTATCTAAGGGTGCGAAATGAAAGTGTATAAGTATGCCATCTGAGAAAGTTCCTGCATCCATTGAACCTGCGATGGAATCAAGAGCGGATCTAGGGAAGCTAGGGGTCATGACCTCCCCCCATTTTTGAAGCTCTACAAAATAGCATTGAGACATTTTCCATGACGATTCGTTTCAAAAAATCAACTTTACCCCATGATAGACATCATTATCTCGTACTCATTGTATATCATCAAATGAGGTTTTCAATACCGACCGAACTAGCTATAAGTATATCCATATGTGTCTATTTTGTCATATCAACATACATGCATTCTTCTAATTTTTATAACTGTTGTTCTGCGAAAAGTGCCTTATTGCTATAAATTGAAGTGAATGTTAATACCCTATTTCTATTTTCCGTCTAGTATGATGAAAGCGTAACCGCTAAAATCGTATCTGACAATCAGGCGCTATTAGGGAAATTGACAAAGATAAAGAGCAGAATATATGTCTTATTTTATTCACTCCAGCATTGTGATTTAGAAAATAGAAAAGGACACAAGTTCAGCTGTGTCCGAACTCTTATATATCTATATCATTTCTGGATGTAAAACGTCAGGTCTGAATATAGAACATGCCCGTAAAAATGGTTTCTGAATAAAAATATACCAATTTATGATTTGATGTACAATGTCTGATGTATTTCAACTGAATGCCAAAATTCGAAAACTCATGTTAACGGTCTATTTGAATTGCCAAAAAGATATATTTGGCACATGGTACAAGAATATAAAGAGATACATTTGGCAAACTTGACGAAAATATAAACATAGGCATTTGGATAGAACTGAAGATTTGTGAAGTAAATTTCTTGAGATAGTTAATATTGCCATAGACGACTGAGGTGAGAGATCACTTACCTCTAATAACCAGGGCTTTAGGTGTTCATCCAATAGTACATCTATTCCAAACAACTCGTAGCAATTATATTTATTGTTCATATTTTCTTCGCACAATTGAGTAATGGGTGCCTCGCAGGCGATCATCGTTTTGATTATCAACTGTTGCATATTTCTCCATAAGGCTTTGGTATCAACATTTTGTTCCTGGAGATATTCTAATAACTTGGAAATAGTCCTGTAAATATATCCATCGGATAATTTGATGAATCAATCAATTCCACATTCACATTCACAATTAATTTTGCTCGAAGATTCCTCAATGATGTAACAATGTCACAAATAAATGACGACGAATAGTGCCTTTCAATAGTTAAAAGAGAATCATTTAAAATCCTCGGAATAGAAGATATCATAATTATGTTACATCTACGTTGAACCGTTTTCACGTTATTAAACGTCGAATATCTCAGTTTATAAAGTTAAAAATTAAGTTACACTTATACTTTTTTTCTTCTGCAGCAAGCTAAATCCTTACTATATGTATATATTTACATGGAAGCAATAAAAATAATTCAATCTCAGTTATAAAAGTAATGCTCCTTTTTGTTGAAGTTGCTTATAGCAACGAGAGATTATCGCGATAATTTTGATAGTTCCTATTAACTTATGGAATTAATAAGTGATAATTTATCTGTGAAAAGCGAAGCGCCTTATATCTATTGACAAAAGTCACTAAGTTTTATTTGAAACTCAGTAGATATGTTATATTAGATGGTATGGTTGAGAATAAAATAATATTTTTAATGTTCCTGAAATTTTGGTAATCAACCTTAGTTACTAACAAGTAAAACCAACTTATATTGAAAAAATATAGTGCGTCATATTTAACTAAACTCATCTGAAATAAAACTATGAAGACATTGGATTTGAGATAACAAATTTGTTATTTGATGTTTCTCACATTTTAGTAATAAAAACGAGTTATACCAGTGTATACATACATTAGACAAGTAGGGTCAAAGTCTGATTTGGACGAAAAAGATATGTAGTAGTAGATATTATCCGATAGATGCCAGCACGCTCGGACGTCGAAGACAACTCAATGTTGCCAAGCTGGTTATTTATTGGTAGCTATTGTACTTTATTAATAATACCCGGCAAAATATTAGTTTTTAAAGATGCATCGAGTGCTATTGAATATTCTATGTAATCATTGATTTATTTCTAACTAAGTATTACATTCTTCATGACGGTGTCAACATGTATTTGGTGTTATTATCATGGATAGTCCAATGGCCACGTAGATCTGTTAGCTACATAAAACAATTTCAGGATAGCCATTTTCTGTATTTTATGAGTATTTTCTTCGTGATTAGCAGTGGTGTAGACGTTATGTTCTGTGGTTGTGAAGGATTTTTATTATTATATCGATAATTTGGTATTTTGTTTGGTGTCCGGATTCTTGGTAATTGCTGTGCTTAATGGTTTGGAAGGTTATTATTCCAACAACCTTTCCGTTGAAGTACATTCGTTTACAATTCTCTAAAAATTTTATTGGGTAATTACAAGGTGAACAGTACTACTTCTGTTTCTGTATATAGTTCTTGAGTTTGGTAGAGAAGTTTTAATATCAATTGCTCATAAGGTCACAATTATCTAATTCATTTAGAACAAATTAGAAGGACTTCTTTTCAACCTTGGTTCATATTGCAACGAGGATATCAGAATAGGCATATTTTTCTCTTATATTCTTGTGCCAAATTCGCTAACAAAAGTTTCAAAACAATCGACGACCGCTGAGAAGAATGTCATAGGCAAATAGTGATATGGAAAAATCGTTTTCTATTTAATCTCATTTGAATGAAAATTATACTTTGAATGTTACAATATACCTTTTGTTTCCCACTCCAAAAGCACGAAGTAGTTATGGGTGAATGAGTATACATACATATAATCCTGAACATAAGTTTCTACTTTATGATAATTCCATCTACAAGGAATAATTTGTTAATTTTTCAAATTGTCAAATGTATGTACGCTGGCTATACCTAAGTGCCAAAATTTTATTCGACATCTACGCAGAATAGGTCGTATCATATTAAAAGCAACAATTTATGAAATTTTCTTACCGAATCTCCCATGCAGCAGAATCAATTCCCGATAATTCTGCTGCTATGTGGATTATGAGTAATTATAGGTTTATTCATTACCAACAACAAATTTGAGAGTACCTAGTATTTGGTTTCTACGTTTCTTCTTTAGAATATAGTGATCTTTCGAGTTTCAGCAGGTTCAAGATGGAGATCACACATGTCCGAAATATGTACCTGATTTGTAGAGATGACTTTGTGCCTCTTTCATTGAATATGAGGTGGTCTTCAACACAATACATGCTCTTTGATATTTTCGATGAATGATATGGTCTTTATTTTGACACAATAAATGCTTTTTGATATTCTCAAAAAGTGCTACCGACTTATTCACTCTTGAGTACATAGTGATTCACCATACTATTTATTTCCAACTCAATACACTGTATCTATGATTAATTATATCAACCCTCTTTTGTCACACATCAGGTAGAATTTTCACCTCGAACATAATTTAGAATGATCCTTCAGTGTATAATATTAGTTTCAAAAAACCAACACAGATTCTTGATGGTATGACTATATTAAGAGAAAAAGCAACTTACCATTTATGACCCTGGCAAGAATTTGCATCTTCATTGGCAGTATACTGACTTGAAAGTTTGTTAATACTATAGTTTGTCAGGTGCATGTACCTGTCTTTCAAATCTTTGGCATCATCACTATATTTGGCTGCAAGAAAAGAAGTACATAAAATCAAAGAAATAAGCACTTATCATATTCAAATTACTACTTACCGCTGGCAAATCTAGCTAATCCATCAGGATAAAGATATATCCTTAAGGGGTGAAAACTTGTAACCAGTACATAAAGGCGCAGGTCGAATTTGCTGCCATTTATTAAATACGGATTGGCAATATATTTTTGTACAACTATGGGAGTTTTCTTTGGAAGCTGCGACCATTTATTTATCACTTTAATGCCAACACCTCGAGCCGAAGCTGGCTGAAATATGCAGATAATTGAAGTCAATTATTATAATAGGGTTCTGGAAACAAACAATTGATTTTTCCTACTAGGAGAGTAGACCTGACAAATCAAGTAAATAAACGCGGACACACATGATTACAAGAGAATAAAGAACAACTTCTTAAGATTTTACTGGAATAATGAATGTACCACCTCCTCGATTAACCTACAGACAGTATTTACTGTATTGAGTTGTGGGAAGAATATTGCACAAAGCCTAGAAAGACCATAAATATAATCCTGATTCAAGAAGAGGCAATATGTTATGAGTGGAACATAAATCTCTCCAAGAGCCAATAACGCAATAACCGTTGGAGCTACAAAATTTGAAAAAGAGTACATTATTTATGTGAAATAGAACAGGTTTTCAGATTTTTCACTTGTTTTGATCATCATTCAATGGACAAAGATATGGTGTAATTTACCGAAGTAACAGAGTGTCACTAGCGCTCTCTATGAGCAATCACAAAATAAGTTGCAAATTTGTATTTCTCATATCAGAAACCCTGAAACTACAGAATTTCATGTTCATGCTGTTAAAACTTTATTGGTAAATTTTAAAATAATATCTCTCCCAAGAACACCCTGTATCCCCTGAACCAGCAACATTCTTATCAGGCATGTTGGACTAAATCTCAATATTTTAGTGTTTACTATCTGTAGATGAGAGATTTTCCATTCTTAATGAACCACCCTGTTTAGTGAATACAGCAGGGACGAAAGACGTGAGCTGCGGAGATATAGAACGGCGATATAATGCTTATTTGGAACAATTTCCAGGTTGACCAACGCCTACAGGATGGCATAACATCGTTTCACGATATCCAAAAACGAAGGTACTCTTTTCTATGAGTTTATTCTCAAATTTCTATTCTATTTTTCAACATTTCTGAAAATTTCTTCTAAAAACTTATTTAGGTAGAAGGCATTGGAATGGTTTCACAATAAATCAAGATACATTTTTCCAAATTAATTGTGATTTATAAAACTGAAATTCATTATTCCACCTTCAAAAGGGATGTACTGTCTACCCATTTTCTGGAACACATTCATAGAAAAGAGTAATTCTGATTGAACATATCATCCTACAGAAACATTGGGTGATCATATTGTGTGTATTTCAAAATTGGAAATCAATGATCTAACAGGAAAATTTACCTTTATTCTTTTTTTCACGTGACTAATAAAAGCAATCGTTGGGATGTTCGATTCTAATCATGCTTTAGGAGATAGTGACCGTCAAATAGAAATAAGTCATTAATTTTTTCAAATGAAACATCTCAATTATGTTTGAAAGAGAAATAGAATTGATAGACATTTCAATATTGAATCTAGTATGTGTGAGAATGTGGGTGGATGTGTGTATATAGGTTCATTAATTTCTTACCGGTTTAATGATCCACATTTCTCCCCCACTGCCATTTTTGAATTCCCAAGCCTGTTTCAGAAGTTTCAATTCCTGAGGTAAAACATAAGTATGAGGTAGGAATCCAAACCTAAAAGCGGTTTTGAATTAGTTGATATACAAAATAAAATTAGAAATTAAGAGATTTCATTGACACTGTTATAGATGAAAAATAATATCCAGCGATAGCTTTGTTTCTCTTGCCAAAATGATGTCAACAAAAATCTTAGTTTAACTTGCCAAATAATTAATCTTGTAATTATAGCACCTACTCATTTCAAGGAATTGGCTCACTGAATGAAAGATTAATTGGATGTATCAATTAAAATAAACAACTCAATTTCACGCAAACAAATAAATGTCCCATTGAATTAATATTAACAGACAGAATATTGAAATTAAAGTTGATTTACCTTCAATATTTAGTACTTACTCTTTCAGTCCGAATTTGCTAATCATTTTTTGAAAGTTTTTCCATAATCTATCTTTCCTTCCTAACTGAAAAGTACCAGGAAAATGATTAATTTTTTGCATATCTTTCAATGTTTTGAACATTGGTGATTTCATGTGCTTTCCCCATGTTCCAAGCCATTGATTGGACTCTAAAAATTCAACGATAATAAAAGGAGTATAACATTTATGGGGTTGAGGTATGAAAACATGAAGGAGAGTAGGTAATAGGAAAGGAGGAAAACAAATTAAGGAATTGGGGGGGCACACCTCTCACAAACTCACTTCTGACCAATGCAAACCCAGAATTTGTTAAAGTTTTCCTAACGATGACTGGGGTTATTGTACTGAGTTTCCATTTCAAGAATTTTTTTCCATTGGGAATATTTATTTCTGTTTCTGAATCATGAGAGAAGAACTGAATATAAGGAGGAATGTTTGGAAATAAACTAGGCCGAACTGGCCAATTAACTGTATCACCAGAACCTGAAACAAAATATAGAAGAATTTATCAATGACATTTTATAATTCATTCATCACTTGAAAATTTACTGGACACTTTTTTACGTTTTTTGTAAAATAAAGTACGGACACCCGACAAGCAGTGACAGCGAGACACAACCACAAACGATTTTGAAGCAAATCATATGTTTTGCCAGACAAGGAGAAGAATGCGTTTTTCGCTTTGATAAAGGCTTCTCGCATCTTCCTTTCTCTACATGTCCAGGAAAGAGTACATCCATATATATTTCTTTGCCTTAAATTTTTAAATAAGAGTACATAGCATCTCCTCTAGTGGGAAATAGGGCAAGATAAATAAATGGACAATGATTTCCTCTTGAAATATGGAATGATAGGACTGGTATGAACCACAGGTATGAACATTCATACCAACGAAGTAACATTGTACTATTACTATGAAATGATGATAAACTGAAAGGTATATATGCTATACGAACAGTTGAATAAGTTTCATAGCACGAAAGTTCAGAATGAAGTGAAATTTGACAATTTATAACCAAAGAAACATACTCTTATTTCACTCATCTATTATCATTAAATTTTGGGTTTCATTTCATTTTTGTAAAAGTGTGTTATTGGATGGGAATTCGAATAGAGTAAATTGAATTCAAGTATTTTTACAGTAAGAAACTGCACAAACTTACATCTTATTTTACCAATTTTTTCAATTCAACAAACCTTTGATATTCAGGTCATGTACGTTTGTATACTGTCAGTTCCGGCTTTTTTTTATCAATTTTTTCGTGGTTATGTCTCGCTGTCAGTGCTTGTCATAGTGTCCGTAGTAAAAACAAAAGTGTCAAGCACATTAAGGAACTCTACACAGGACTAATCTCTAGGTAGACATGTGACTTACTTAGAGACCACATCAACTGGAAGAGAATGTAGATTGAAAGGTACCCTACCTGCTATCAAAAAGAAATAATATCTATTGTGGAAGTGTTCAGTAAATATTTTTGGGGTACGATGTTTTTGCATTTTCTAGTACTAGATACTGAATGCCCATAGAAAATACTTATTATTTGCCCATTTGAACGTTCCTGTAGGACCAATATTAACTAAGGTAGCTATTGAGTAAAATGTAAACAATCACCCTGTACTTACATTCAAATCATTTTTTCGTAATATCAACTACGTAAAAAAATACTCCGGACACTCTAGTAGAAGGTTGTGAGAAGTATATTCATTGAAAGTTTCGAAAGTAGGTTTTCTTTTTTATGAAGAAAAATATCTAGAAACTTAATAATGGAGATTTTTCAGTTGCAGGACACCCGTCGATCTACATTCTTTTTCAGTTTGACGTGGTATTTACTCGCCAAGTGAGCATATTTAATGTACCAAATCTCAGAAAAATAACTAGAGAAGCAAAGGAGAATCTATGTCACATGGTATATTATTAGATATTTGGTAAAAATTGCCTAATTGATGTAATTTTTGCTATTATTCTCTTCTTCAGGCTGTAGGAAAATTATTTTCTTATATACATGGTGATTCAAAATTCGATGTAAACATTTCAAGGTTGTATTGTTGGGGTCAAAATAAGATTTCATCTTCATATAAACATGGGTCAGTTTCCCAGCATTTTTCAAGCGAAAATTCACGCCATTGAAAGGTGGATTCAGTTCAACCTCGATAGGAAACACCGGAACTAGGAAATCGCTATCCTCTTCGACAGCCAAGCAGCCATCAAAGCATTGAGCTCATTCAACATCAACTCAAAGATGGTTTGGAAATGCCTTGACAAACTCAACAATCTGGACAAGATCAACGTGGTAATCCTCCTCTGGGTGCCGGGGCAAAATGGAGTAGAGGTAGAGGGAAATGAACAGGCAGACATTCTCGCACGAAAAGGAGCATCAACGCCACTGATCGGTCTAGAACCATACTGCGGCCTTGGAAATTCTCATTTCCAAGAACTTGAGAAAGCTGAATAAGCAATGAGAGAAATACACTGGCGAAGAATTCCAGGACTGCGGCAGGCCAAAGATCTCCTCGGCAATTTCATCCGAGCAAGATCGAAGACACTGATCAACCTCAGCAAAATTAGTCTCAAAGCAATAACGAGATGTCTTACGGGGATTGCCGACTCAAAGAACATCTATGGAAGCTAGGCTCAGAGGAGGACAGCGATTCTTAAGGGGAACATCCAGAAACACCCCCACCACATCTTGCTTGCTGGAGTGTTATGTTGTACATCACAAAAGATCGAATATACTGGAAGCATAACAGCTGGCCGTGAAAGAAATACCACGAACAGATCCCCTCGGAATCCTAAAATTCCTAAAAGAAATGAAGCTTGAGGGGTTGCTATAAACAAGAAAACCTTGACATAGCAGTAGAAGATGAGGCATAATTAATATATCTAATCGGGTCGCAGAGCATCTGTCACCATCCAAAATATTTTTTCAGTTGAATATTTATCAACACTCTATTATTATTTCATATTCTACTTCATTTTAGTTTGGCTATTTATAAAAGCGTGTTTCTCTAGTTTTTCAAACTACAATTTATTTTCTATTCCTTTTTAGTTCACTTGAATTTTCCAATTTCGGCGAAAGAATCATGATCTCCGACTCCTAAAACCCAGATGAAAATATTGAATAGAATTCCGCCATCTTGAATTTCCTAATTCTGACAAAAGAATAATAATTTCCAATCCCGAAAATCCCACTAACAAATTTTGAATAGAGCCACATAGGATCCGACATCTTGAATTTCATAATTTTGAGGAATCATAATCGTACCAATTTTGAATAGAATCGGATTTTAATTGAAAAACTCGTCCGCCATATTGGTTCCGCCATCTCAAAATATAAAGTTCCGCTAGAATTTCCAAATTTTGACGAAAGAGTAATAATCTCCGACTCCAAAAACCCCCAGATACCAATTTTGAATATAATTCGACCATAATAACAAAACTCTTCCGTCATATTGGATGAGCCATCTTGAATTTCCAAATTTTGACAAAATTTCTAGAGACCAATTTTGTATACAGATATTTATAACAATTTCTCAATTCCAGGCAATGCGTTCATAGGACGACATTCAAAAGACTTACTTACTATAAACTGCCCAAAATTGCATTTTTTAATTATATAATTAAAATTTTGTACATGTTTCCTGTTTTCTTTTATTAAAGTTTGAGTTGATTTTTCGAAGTGTTTTCTCAAATTGACCTATAACCAGCCCTCACGTTCTTCAGTTCCTATAATTTATAAATTCCTGAGAACAAATAAAACACAAAATAGGCAGGTAATGAAAAACTCTTTGTAATCTAATTATCACCGTTTTCCGCTGGACTGATCTAATACACATATAGCTATCCTCAATAAACTACATATGAGGAATAAACACAAAAAATTATTCAATGCGGTAAAATTTTGAGCCAGTGTGATTAGTGGAAAACGGTACAAGTGTGCATTCTTTTGGGTATATCTACTGGACAACCACGTCGGGATATCGCACATACACATGATGGTGACGATGGTTTGCACAGATAGGACAGAAATAAAATCTCAGTCAGTAAAAGAAATCATCATTTTCGTCAATCTGACGTCGCCTCTGGCTAATAATTGGAGTTCGCGTTCATTTTTGAATACAAAATACCTGCGCCTCTCGCTGGTAGTCAGGCGCACTAGCAGCACAACATTGGTTAGATGTCATGAAATTTGGTAACACAGGGCTTATGGAAAATGTCGCTTCTTGTTCGTGAATAGCGTTAATATTCTTAGGTGAAACCATGGTGGTACTATATATATACTACTATAGTGATACATAGAAAATGACATTATTTGGAGAATTTGTTAATTCGAATACACTGCTTTCGTGAAGTACTAAATAAATTCATTTTTAGCCAAACCATCCATTTCTGAGAAATCTCCTGAAACAGGTTGATTGTCATTTTCAATTTGCCACGTTTGTAAAAGAAAATTGAATATACAGGGTGATCCACGATTGAGTTATGACAAACGCGACAATTTTATCAAATGGAACACCCTATACATTATTCAATTTTTGGAATCTCCATGGAAAGCTGAATTCAAAAATGTATTGCATATAGGGTTTTGCATACAGTACGTCCGTTAAATTCAATGCTCTCGTAAAGTAGTGGATAAATTCATTTTGCTATATTCATTAGAGAATATTGAGTATACAGGGTTATCCACGTTCAAGTTATGACGTCCACGACAACTTTTCAAGTGGAACACCATATATATAATTGGAATCCTCATGGAAGGCTGAATTCAAAACTATATCACATATAGAGTTAAATTCACTGCTATCGTGAAAATGTGGTTGTCAATAAAACAATATCGATTACGTAATTTCTCCAACAATTAAGTACTCTAGTGGAAAAAAATTTAGTATTCGGTTTCTCTGCGGTCCCATGTTTTCGGGGGCGCTGAATCAGAATATGAAGTTTGCAAACAAAATGTCTTTGAGCGTTCCGACATTTTTGCAAAAAAAGCGGGTCAGGAAAATTCAATTTCAATTGTACTGTTTGTTTTCCTGACCCATAACAGGTTTGTTTTATTCTGACACCATATACATGTTTTTCCTTAACATTAGTAATGTATTTCAGGTCGTTTTAGTCTGATGATGGCCGTTGTGCCGAAACCGGTCACTATCTAATTTAATATTTTTTTTTATATAAAGTGTGGTCGACTGACTTTTAGAGTCATTTATTTCATTTATGAATACTGTGGGGCCACTTTGAGAATGAATGATTTTCATAGTTTATGTCAAGTTTTATTTATTATAGTTTATTATGTTAATTATGATAGATTTCAACAAGCAATAAGCAATGGGCTTATATCACAAAAAATTTTTATTTGATAATTCGATAGAACTCACCCAAACTAGCTCACCACCGCAAACCGTTTCTTGCTGTGAGCTCCCTACGTTTTATAAAAAATTATTGAAATCCCCGATTTTTCGGACCTCTGAAAACGAGGCGATGATGTGACGTCAAAACCCTTATACTGAAACAAGACTATTCCAGACAGAGATGAATGATACATGATTTCTGACAGAGTGAATTAGCGCGAGATCACAGTTGAAAGAATTAATATATCAGTTGCCTCAGTCTCCGTCGGGCGTTTAGTACTTTCTTTTAACTATGGCGAGATGAGGTTTCTACGTCATAAGAGGGTCCGTTTTCAGAGGGTTCTATCATTTATGCCCAAAAATAAAATATTCCCAGTTAATTTTTCGATCGAAATATGTCGTCAACCATTATTTATGTATAAAAGGATCATTAAAAACATGATTTGAGTTAAAAGTTCTACTAAGGTGTACACGCCCATTGTAACTTATCTTTCATGATAGTACCCAGAAGTTGATAGAACCTCTTCATCAGCTTGTTATTGAAGTAGGTATACAACATTTTTGACAATAAATACTTTTATATCTACCAAATAGCCAAAAAGCCAAGATACTCTCAGTCAGACAAGAAACGCAAAGAGTTTAGCATAGGGATTTTTGGCAAATTTGATAACTTTCTGCCACAACGTTGGTAATTCTTATTCAAAGAAACGATTTGTAATTCTCCTGATCTCAAAAGTTCAAATTAACGTTCAAAATGGAAGCCGGAAAAAAATTTCACCTGGGGAATTTCCGAATAAAGTTTCATCTCTATTGCGTTATGTAAATACCTCGGAAAGTTCAGGATAAAGATTTTTGAAATAAAATGAAATTGACAAATTACTCAAAAAATTAAAAAAAAAAATTATTATCGACATACTTCATGTCCTAATACAATCATTTTTTATGCTATGTTGTGTTGTATTAAAACTTGCACATGGTTAAGTAGAATAAAAATATTGCTCACCTGGTATTTTTCCACACAGTGAAGGTACTCTTTCAGAATCTTTGTTGCTTTCTTCTGTTGATGTTTCACTATCATTATCTCTTTCATCACAGTTTGTTTCATTTTCACTATCAGAGCCACTACAATCGCTGAAATATATAAATTCAATAATTTACATGCATCCAAGTATGCAAAAATTACTTCTCCAAGTCAATAATGTCTAGTTTCATTTTATAGAAACAAGCCACAAATTATAAGAATTCAAAATGATCAAATCATTTGATTATTCAAGTTCATTATTGAGTGAGCTACACCAACAATCCTGAATACTTTGGCTGCCAAATATAAAATGGAACACCTAAGTATTACATTGTTTAATCATAAGTGAGAGAGATATCCTAATTTTAAACATTCCTCAAAAACTATTTGTGAACCGGCCAGATTTCAAAGATTTTTGTCCATTGAGTAACTTGACTAGAAATAAAACGGAAAATTCATGTTTTGCTAACGTGTGATTCATGAATGGAGACAAGTGGAATGGCGCGTAAACACAACGTATATTTTGATGTTTATAAGATCAAGGAAACTTTTGTGGGGATTCGTTTATTTCTTGTGCAATCATTTTTAACTTTTATGATTTTAATTACTGATGCTGTAAATTACCTGTGATGTACCTGAATAAACTTTCTTATTATTATTATTATTATATATTATTATCATATATTATTATTATTATATTATTATTATTATTATATAACTGATTGAACCGATCAGTTGGGAGTAGGGATCAGTAGATCCGTAGCACATAATCCATATTATGATCTCGCATACGATCCTAGGAAATGTACGGAATTAAGTTAATTTTCAAGTGTCAGGTCGCTTTTTAACTATACAAGGTGATTTTGAAACGGTTGGCAAATATCAACTAGAAATAAAACGGAAAATTCATGTTTTGCTAACGTGTGATTCATGAATGGAGACAAGTGGAATGGCGCGTAAACACAACGTATATTTTGATGTTTATAAGATCATAACTGATTGAACCGATCCGTAGGGAGCAGGGACCAGTTAAGTAGATCAGTAGCACATAATCCATATTATGATCTCGCATCTGATCCTAAGAAATGTACAGAATCAAGTTAATTTTCAAGTATCAGGTCGCTTTTCAACTATACAAGGTGATTTGGAAACGGTTGGCAAATATCAACTAGAAATAAAACGGAAAATTCATGTTTTGCTAACGTGTGATTCATGAATGGAGACAAGTAGAATGGCGCGTAAACACAACGTATATTTTGATGTTTATAAAATCATAACTGATTGAACCGATCAGTAGGGAGTAGGGATCAGTAGATCAGCAGCACATAATCCATATTATGATCTCGCATATGATCCAAAGAAATGTACAGAATCAAGCGGCCCGGTGGTCGAGTTCGTATGGGGACTCCCACCGAGGCATGGGTTCGAATCCCAGTTAGGCCATGGATGTTTGTAAATGTATGCTTTCCTAACCCCGCACAAGTTTCGACTTATGGGGCGTTGGATCCAGTGCTGGGTCCAACGAGGAAATGCAATTAAAAAAAAAAAAGTTAATTTTCAAGTGTCAGGTCGCTTTTCAACTATACAAGGTGATTTTGAAACAGGGTTGGCAAAAATCAACTAGAAATAAAACGGAAAATTCATGTTTTGCTAACGTGTGATTCATGAATGGAGACAAGTAGAATGGTGCGTAAACACAACGTATATTTTGATGTTTATAATATCATGACTGATTGAACCGATCAGTAGGGATTAGGGATCAGTAGATCAGTAGCACATAATCCATATGATCTCGCATATGATCCTAAGAAATGTACAGAATCAAGTTAATTTCAAAATGTCAGGTCTTTTTTCAACTATACAAGGTGATTTTGAAACAGGGTTGGCAAATATCATGATATAAATATAAATATCAAAATATCATAACATCGGATATATACAGGCTGATTCACGGTGAATGGTACATCAGACGTTTCTGGAGAACGCAAAGTAAGATTATTTTGAAAATTTGGTTCCTTGGATAATTAGTTGTGTTCTATCGACCTGAAATATACTCAGCTCTGCGACGTTGCCGCTTACATTGAAAAGTAGCAACAACTTTGATTTTTTTAATGGGACACCCTGTATATCATTCCATTTTCAGATTTTCCCTGAAGGGCTGATTTTATCGATCTTTCACACTTGGGGTTCAGCGGAAATGATAACAAAGATATAGGGTGTGAAAAATCGAGATTTTTCAAATTTAAGAATTTTTTGTGTTGACACTATTCATAATTGATCAAAACGGTTTTCATGTCCCTATCTTAACTTTTTATGTACTATCAATTGATATTTGATTGAAATAGATACAGGGTGGTCAAAAATCTTGACTCTGAACCACCCTGTATTTATTTCAATTAAATATCAATTGATAGTGAATGAAATGTTGAGATAGGGACATGAAACCACAATGAAATCACGAATATCCATTTTTTATGTTGAAAACGGGAGCAGATTCGTTCCTGAAATGTCCAAAGCTAAGTGAATATTTGAAATATTTCCTATATACCTTTATTTCTCTTCTACAAACCTTTTTCGATACAAATTGTCACTGACAAGCTAGTGAATTTTTCTTCTGGTCTCTCTGATAGGAGAATTCTTTAAATGCAGTGACATTTTTGGGCAAATTGTCTGATTTGTCCTTACTACATGTATATTGAAATAATATTTATATTTTTATTTTATAGAAATGAGGAGAAAATCCCAAAAAATCTGAAATAATGAATGAACCACCTCCTTGATTAACATACAGACAGTATCTATAAAGATAGTTGATCTTGTACAAATTGTTTTTATAAGACCATTTGCATGCTGTTTGAATTTTAGCTGCCTATCTATGGTCACACCAAGATATTTGAATTCATCTACACTGCTGATCAAGGAAGTTCCAATTTTAATATCATAGTTGTTATCATTGAAATTTTTGTACTGTTGGACATTTCCAATCACTATAAACTTCATTTTTTTACAGTTGATTTTCAACAAATTGGCACAACACCATCTGTATATTTTTTCTAAATCTCTGTTAATAACCTCAACACTATTCAAGACACTCAGTGATGAGAAATGTATCAGTGTGTCATCTGCAAATGAATAAACAGAATGTATATAAATAAAGACTTTCCAACAAGGCCTAAGATATTAGGTAGGCACCTACAGTCAGGATGATGCTTGATGTTACCATACAAATATTCTGGCAAAATGGAATGAGTATTTGAGATAAAACATATGGATCATAATAATAATAATAGTAATTTTTCAAAGGCCATTGATTTCTGATTTACCAAATCTTCCTGTTGAAGTTACAATTATTATGGAACATAGCATTCCAGTATTCAATGTGTGCCTCCATGGAATGACCAATTCACTGTTTATTTCAATGCCTCATATTTTGATACAAGGCGGGCCTTTCGCGACAGCTTTCCGACCGAATATAGCCTATATATATATACTAGTTCAACAACTATTTCTAGGTGTCAGTGTGATGTCGAAATCAGAATAAAATAATTAAATTACAGCTTTCACAGCTATTCTAGAGTTCTTCGATTTCGTCTGTTACAGCAGGTCACCAATAGGTGGCACACAATTGAATGCAATCGTAGGTAATTGTATTATGTACGTGCAGTGTTGCCAGAGCTACTGCTCCACGGGCCTGCTCAACATGATCCCACTTTTCACTCCATTCAAGTCAAGCAAATACCTATATCTCGCTACAATGAAAATTTATGTCATGAGTCATTTTTGAAACTGTCTTCACAAGTAGTCTTTCGAATATTTCTTTTCCTTTTTAATTTCATTTCCTACTAATATAACTTATCATTATTGGCGTCGCCAGAAAAACTTCCAAGGATGGGGATCGAAATCATTGTTCAGGGCAAAATACTCAAAATAGTCTGTGTAATTCAGAAATAATGTGTGCAAGATTTTTTATCAAGTTCAGATGGCTATAAATAGAAATTTCGTGTTTTCTGTATAGGGTATATACGTAGACGATTGCCTAGTTTCAAATATCTTCATTCTTACGAATTCACACTGCTATTACTGATATAAGGGTTATATTGATATATACAGTGTGTAGAATGAAAGAAATCCTTGATTCAAATTTCATGTTCTCTAATTCAGACCTGCTTGCTGAAATACAAATTTCGATCATAATTGCACTTATGAAAAAAACAATTTTTTCGAAGTGAGAACTTCTAGGCGCGTCGAGCACTTTTTTGGGTGGAGAAAAACATTGGATTTCGCGTCATCGTCACGACCCGTTCCGTGTCCCGTTATCGCGAGGTCAATGAATAGCAATAAATTTGAAGGGTGCAGTATCGCATCTCATCTAATATTATGTAGTATTTTGTAATTATGATTAGATTCTATTCTAAATTGGTATATGGAGGTTTTCGGGGTCGGAGATTATGATTCTTTCGTGAAAATTTGGATATTGAAGATGGCTGACGAGTTTTATTTATAATAATTATGATCCCATTCTATTCAAAATTGATGTCTGGGGGTTCTCGGCGTCGGAGACTATGATTCTTTCATCATGGCTCCACCAATATGGCGCACGAGTTTCGTAATTATGATTCTATGCCATTTGAAATTTGTATCTGGGGTTTTTTGTGGTCGGAGATTATGAATCCCGAAATGAAAAAATTCAAGATGACGGATTCAATATGGCGGACGAGTTATGTGATGATGATTCTATCCTATTCAAAATTTATATATAAGGGTGTTTGGGGTCGGAGATTATGATTCTATCGTCGAAATTGGGAAATTCAGGATTGCAGATCCATTAAAGCGGACAAGTTTTCTAATTTTATTATCCGATTCTATTCAAAATTTTTACTGGTGTTTCAGGGGTCGGAGATTTTTGAATCATTTGTCAAAATTAGGAGATTCACGCGAACACCATCTCAAAAGTTTTAGTTAGTCTATCTTAGACAGCGAATGTTTTTAGGTAATAAAGTTTGTCGAGTTGATAAAAATTCTGTTTGATAGTGATAAAACAGTGTATAGTGTGAGTGTGATTATATCGTACCAAAGTTTCCAGGATTCCCTGGTTTCGGTCTTCAACATAACGGTGAGAAATTGATTTGCCATCATATGCTTTCTATATCTCACAATCCATTTTGTTTTAATGGTCAACTTTTTTTAAATCATTTAAAAATCGAATTATAATGAAAAAAATATAAGAAAATTATGTTCATGCTGATATAAAACTCACAAAGTTATTGTATGAGGAATTTTAAAATGAAATATTTTTCTTGAAACCTGTTTCTTCAAAACTAACAACATTTTCTATGAGAGATGTGAGGCTGCATCTTGATATTCTGATGTTTACTATTTCTAGCTCACACATTGACCATTTTCATGCTGATTTAAAACTTACAAAGTTATTGTATGAGGAATTTCAAAATAAAATATTTTCCTTGTACACCCTGTTTCTCCAAAACTAACAGCATTTTCTATGTGAGATGTGAGATGTGAGGCTGAATCTTGATATTCTGATGTTTACTATTTCTAGCTCACACATTGACCATTTTGAATGAATAACCCTGTATATATTTCAAAGAAAATTTTAATATCACGGAATTCATTGAATTTCAAAAATCTTCCCCAAAGAAGATGTAAGTGGAATATGAAGTATCTACCTACGATAATTCTCTAAAACATGAACTGGATGTTCGATAACGTCTCCAAATGTCTCGAAAAAAAAGCGGCTGCTATATTTTCAAATATTTCGTATGTGGCTGACTTTCCTGTTGCCTCGCTTTTCTGCCATTCTTATGAATTTTTGCGACATATCATTTGCAGCAGCTTGCAACACTGGCTTTTCAATTAGTGATTATATGCCGGTTAGTTTGAAGTTCATCTGAAGTTCACGCAATTGAAAGTGGCACGTGGCGGACTGCGGAAAGACGGGGAATCACCGCGCGACCAATGAATATCCCCCCGGTTCGCCGCGGAAGGCGGAAGGAGAGAGACATATAACGATTTCTCGCTCAGTTTTGTTTTGTTGCCGTGGCGGTATTATCCTTTGTAAATATCGCCATATCAATGGATCCAAAATCTGAGAACTGTACTCTGAGAGTTCTGAGACGAATGTTTTTGCATGAGTTTTAGAGTGAAATAACCTGAACTTTTGACACAGATTGACAAAGCTTTTGTTCCACAACTGTACCATTCCTATTATTTCCATCTATATGCTGACATAATTATCGATCTCATGAATAGAATTGAAGAAATTCTGCTGAATTTGTATGTTTAAATTTTCAGGTCTACTTATATAATTATAATTCAGTGACAAATTCTAGGCCGTTTCAAACTACTCTATTTATTTTCTAGTTCTTTTTAGTTCGGTTCTCTATACCTCTTCATTTTATCAAACTACTCTTTATTTTCTACTCACTTCTTTTTAGTATGGCTATCTATAAAAAGGTGTTTCATTAGTTTTTCAAACTAATATTTATTACAATAGCTGATACCCGGCAAACGTTGTTCTGCTATATACAATCATTTCCAGAAAATATTTTTTTAGTTAAATATTTATCAACATACTTATATTCATTTGTTTTCTAATTCTTCTTCGACCCCGAAAACACCCAGATACAAATTTTGAATAGAATCGGATCATAACTACAAAACTCAGTTGCCATCCTTCATCTTCAATTTCCTTATTTTGATGAACAATCATAATCTCCCATCCCAAAATCCCCCATATACAAATTTGGAATGGAATCGGATTAAGTTACAAAACTCATCAGCCATATTGAATCTGCCATCTTGGATTTCCAAATTTTGATAAAAGGATCATTATTTTCGACTCCGAAAACCCCCCCCGATACCAATTTTACATAGAATCTGATCATAATAATTAAAAAACTCTTCCACCATATATTGGATCCACCATTTTGAATTTCCCCATTTTGACAAATGATTCATAATTATCTACGACCTCTAAAACCTCCAGATACCAATTTTGAATAGAATCTGACCATAATTACAAAACTCGTCCGCCATATTGGATCCGCCATTTCGAATTTCCTAATTTTGATAAAAAAATCATAATCTCTGACCTCGAAAACCACCAGATACCAATTTTGAATGATATCTGACCAATCTGTTCTGTTCAGCACCAAAACATACGCTGATGCTCTTAGATTCCATCCAGAGAAGAGCCATTCGCCTGGTGGGTGACGCCACACTCACTCACTCTTTGACATCATTGGAACACCGTAGAAAGGTCGGCGACCTTTCACTTTTCTATCGATACTTCCACGGGAAATGGCTATCATCACTCCACTAGCAATACCAGACGAAGTAGACAAGCCCAGTCAGCACATCCTTTCGTTGTCAACCTCGAAAGATGTCGAACAGCACTTTATCAAAACTCCTTCATCCATAGAACGGCTAGGCTCTGGAATTCAGTGACCGAGGAAGTATTCCCAACAACATATAATCTCCAGAAGTTCAAAAAAAACTCCAATACCTACCTCCTGTCCCTATCCTCCCTAGGAACGCACGATGTTCTTTGAACATTATAGGAATTTCCTTTCGTGCGCTCCAAGCGATAAAAAAAATAATTACAAAACTCGTCCGCCATATTGGATCCGCCATTTTGTATTTTCTATTTAAAAAATAGATTACGACCGATTCTCATACCTACCGAATACGCACAAAAAATTTCATACGAATCGGTCGAGCCGTTTCGGAGGAGTTCGACCACTATGACCGTGACCGTGACAGGAGAATTTTATATATTAGATTTGTTCGTCTCACAAACACTCGGAGAACCTCCCCTTGAAATATGCCCAGATAATTGAATAATACCCTCTGTATTATCACGTCGCCTAGATTTCATAATATGTCCGAGTAATATGTATAACATTGGCAACGATGTAAACGGGTTTGAATTCATCATCTCTCCTAAGCGCCATCTGCTTGCAATACAATGCACCATTCCTCTCTACCGCAGTCTGTCATTTCGAACACTGCCATCTATCAGGTAGTGCCTGAACTACCACATCCTAGTTTCCTGCATTATATTCTTTCAAGAAATGGAGTTTACCGAGATCAGCTGGGAGGAATGGATAATTTTGTTGACAGAATAATCGTTTTTGTTGCTTCCTGTCCGAATGGAAATATTTCAAGAGCTGATATTTCAGTGACACCTCGCCGAATTTCCAACAATTGTACTGAGATCGAAAATATTTCAATTTGAGACAAAAAAATTTCAATGTTTACGTTTTTCAAAAATCTGTATCTTCTATAAATAAATGAGTTTCGACTCCGTATGATAACCAGGCCCTAGTCCCAACCTTCTTCTTTACGATGATTTAATCAGTTTTTCAATTGAATCATTCATAAGCCCAAATAGCAACAACTAGTGCAGGCCTGCATGTTGATTTGGTTGAAACTCTCCTCTTAAATTGTAAAAGCAAAATTATTGAAATTTGAGAGTGATGGATTATTATTGAAACATTTTATATAGGGATATCTTAGTTATGCCTGAATCAAATAGGCCGTCAAATTTTCAGAAAAAAATAATCAGTTTTGAGATTTTGATTTTTTCAGCAAAGAGCTGGTTCTGAAATGAAGTATATTTCAGATTGGTCCAGAGTTTTCAAGGAGTACCCATTTCAGAATTTATACTTTCCATAATAGGCTAATGGGTTTCAAAATATGAGGATGTTGTTTGTTGTGGTCTTAAATTACACACACCATATGTAATCATCACCAAACAGATGTACCATGAAACAATTCCCTAAATTGAGTTCACCAGTACTCCAATTTAATACTCATAACAGTACCAATTATATATCACATAATAATAATATACAAGGTGAGTCAAAAATGTATACCCAGCTTTCTGGAGGTGATAGTACATTGAAAAATAAGTATAGTTTGATAAATAAACTAATGACCAAAATAATGTGTATCAAGGGAGATATATTATATCCTTCCACCCTCTAAAAACACCCCTCATAACTATAGCAGAAATATAGACAAATATCAGAAAAATGTATTTTGTCAAAATACATTCATGCAGGAAGTTTCAATTTGGTGGCTTTTACCTTTTAAAGGTTATGTGGAAAAATTATATCAATTCAATCAAATTTGGAAGGATATATCACTTAATACAAATTTTGGGCCATTAGTATATTCATCAAACTATACCTATTTTTCAATGTTCTATCACCTCCAGAAAGCTCTGTACACACTTTTTACTCACCCTGTATAAGCAATGAGAAAAAATATAATTACCTTCCTGAACAATTTGATTTTGTAGGTTTTGACATTACTCTCTTCAATATACTTGAATTCTGTTTAGTCCTTGTCTTCAAAGATATCTTATTACGATTTGGTTTAGCTTGTGCAGGAGATACATTTGCTATTTTTTTTGGTAAATTTACATCTGTCACTACATCATGGCTACTTTCTTTCACAGCATCTGGCAATAGGTCTGCTGTACTTATGCATTTATCAATTTTATTAGTGGCATAATTTGTGTAAGCACTATTCTTAAGTAATTTCAATTTCTCTCTAAGATAACCCACTTCACTGTTATATTTATCTTGAAGATTTGTTGCTTCATTTCTTCTGTCAAAGTAGGTGCCAGTATCAAAACATAAAGGTTTATGTTCTAGCAAGTTATGAAGCTTGTAGTCTATCAATGAGCTATATTCCAAATCATTCAGTATCTTTGTATCATATTTTGGTTTACAATTGCTGGTATCTATGCATGGATCATTATAATCATCATGATTTGAGGGTGAACAATTTTTTATTGGACTTCTGGGAAGCATAAACCCATTTCTCAAGGGTCTTATTGATTCCAATGTTCTACTATTTTGTAGGTCCAATCTATTGTGACCAACAGATTCAATTTTAGGTTTCACTTGCATATTCCCTAAATTTTCTATTTGATCATGGAGATCTATATATTTCATTGAATGGTCAGGAGACCTTTTACTCCTGCAACCATCTGCAAAACCTCTTGATTCATTTGAAAGTTTTGAAAGGCCACCTGTCATATTGGTAGTTATTTGACAATTATTTGATATATAGGAAGTAGGCAGTTCACACAGATTCGTTCTAAGGCGAGAATAATCATATCTCATATCTTTTTCTTGCCAGTTACCCCTACTCTCATATTCAAACTCCATATTCTCATATTCCTGGTAATGATTGTACTTTTTTGGTGTTAGAGTTTTCATTTCTTTGAATTTTCTTCGGAAAGGCTCATTGGTTTCACTTAAAGATCGTCTTCTAGGAGATTTTATCTCACACATAGAACACCATTGATTATAAGAATATTTACAGAGTTTTTCTTTACTGTTATAATGGTCAAAATTACAATCACCCATTGTTAATTTAGAAATGATTTTCCTGATCCATCAACCTGCAATAAATTACATGTTTTTTGAAATTATTAATATATTAAAATGTGCACTTCATTTAAATCAACTCATAAGATTAAACATGGTGTATATTTGGTGGTGGTGTTGCGAGTTCATAGTTTGAATGTTCAATAGATTACTTGAAAAATAAAAATGCTTACCTGCATGAATGAAATTAAATCAGAAACATAAGGAAATTGTCTGACTGATTCAACATATCTGTTAGAATTTACAGGTTTTTGATATATTGATAACCTCACAAAAATGGGAAATTATAAAATTAACACAACTTTACCGAACTTTACCCGCGTATTTGACGTTGACGAAACATGAGACATTGTTGCCAGTTGCGTTGGCAGTCTTGCCACTTTGTCAGCCAGTGCAGTGAAGTTTCAGCTGAGTGTGAGCGCATCCTCGGGATAGGAATATAACATGAGTGTCGGCTTCATTCTGTTTAGACCTGATTGAGATACTTGCGATGACCAGCAGAGGTGAGTTACCGGTAACAAGGGTCCCTTGATGGAAATTGACGTTAAAGTCATCTCAACAGGGTACGGAAAGATCATAGCTGCATTCTTTTTTAATGATCTAGAGACTTTAGTTTTGTCTACTGGCATCCCTGACATTGCTGTCACGTCACGTCCATGGGCGCTACAGAAAACCATTCAAAATTTTTATAATAGGTATGTACAGGGTATTTACTTGCTGAGGAAGATCATATATGGGGATCGAGTTTTGTAATTATGATCCGATTCTATTCAAAATTGGTATCTGGGGGGTTTTGGGGTAGGAGATAATGATTGTTTCGTGAAAATTGTAAAATTCAGGATGACGGATCGAATATGGCGAAAGACATTTCTAATTATAATCTGATTCTATTAAAGTTTGGTATCTGGGGGTTTTCGGGGTCGAACTTTATGATTTTTTGTCAAAATTGGTATATTCAAGATGGCGGATCCAATATGGCGAACTTTGTAATAAATAGTTTTTTTTATCGTAGATAGTTAGTCGAATTAAGAAGAAGTAGAACATATATAGTAGTTTAAAATACTGAAAAGAGATATAGATTGCCGAGCTGAAAACGAGTATGAAATGAATAGTATCTTGAAAAACTAAAGAAACACGCTTTTTTCTACAAACTCTTAACAAAGTAGCCTTTGACGCTTTCAAATTCCAGCACAAAGTTGACGTTTTCCCAGAAATGTCATTCTTTGACATCATTTGCGCTCGTGAGCGGAAATATTGAAAAAACGCTCGCACATTTCTCTGTAACCTATACTTATCTATTCTTGAAAACCCACAATTCTTTCATAATGGAAAATAGTGACAGTGAATCATCAAACACACCTCCTTCCTGATGATATAGTAGAAAGCGCATGAGTTTGAATCTCTTACCGGATAAATCAAGAAAGAAATATGAATTACAATATATATATATAATTAATCATTCCAGAATGACGTCATTTGACCGGTTGCTGAGGAGCAAACAATGTATTTCGTCAAGAGTCGTCATATAAAACCAGAATTAGTGGGATCGTTTTCCTTGGAATCTAAGTTGGAAACAGAGAAAGAATTCCATAATTTCGTTTGGTGAAACTGTCATCATATTATTGTGGATGTGGCATCAGGAATGGTTATGCTCATTTAAAGGCAATGAACTGAATGTAAACAACTGGAAGGGACCCACTGTGAACGACGAGTGAGGCAAAAATATTTTTTCTACAAGCGTGCGTGATTCACCCTATACCCGCACGCAATTTAGTTTGGGAAGTGTCATTTTCCCGCAACAGTACGGGACAATTTTCCCACACTAGTGCGGGAAATTTTTTCCCGCACTAGTGCGGGAAAACAAAGATATGATATAATCGCTAGTAATATAAGTGGTTGGTGATGGAATATGAAAGTTTAAGATTGTTTGTTGCAGTATTAAGTATGTATGTTCAGAATCATCTATCAAATTGCACTATTTATTGTTAAAATTAAGAAATATTGAGAAATAAAAATGGATTATTATAAAAATCGCCCTATAGATTTGGATTGATTTGACGGGAAACGTCAATTTGTCATGCCAATCAAACCTCAAATAAGTTTGAAATTGTCGAAGTGACAGACACAGCGTTACTGTCATTTTCGATTCAGTGGAAATGCCACAATGTGATCAAAAACTTCTAGCTGTAGGGATTTGATACAGATGCGTTAATATCACCAACGAAGTCTTAAGAAAGGTATGAGAAGCTATACACGCGTTTAATTGAATGGTGCAACAATAAAGAAATGAAAAAACCTAATGAAGAATAGGTATTTTTGGCTCATTCCATAGAAGTGTCTGGAACCTAGAGACCAAACTCCTAATGGGCCTGCTGGCTTCCGCAATGAACCAACATAATGCATCAAACTGTAAGTTCACAATAGCTATTACTAATAATTAATAGATAGAGAATATATATCTCTTGTTAGTTGTTCCTATTGCTTGAATAATTAATTGAACGATTCAATCAATTTCCTACGCTTGTAGAAAAAATATTGTTCCTAACTCATGCGGAAAGTGTCTTTCCCGCACTCGACTGCTTGCCCGAACTCCGCTTCGCGTCGTTCGTGTCAACGGCAGTCACGTGCGGGAAAGAATCACTTTCCACACTTGTTAGGAAAATTACTATTTCAGGCAACCCGCAGTGTTTACGGATACCTATCTCTCTCTATCTTGTGTTGGCTAATGGGAAGCGCTCGCATAATTTTGAAATATTTTCTCGTTTTTTGCTTCTATTCAACAGTAAACGTGATTAAATAAAAATATTCATTCAGGAAAAAGGATAATGTTGTAATCAATTATCATTAAAAAATTATTACTGATTTTTTTATTGACTTTAAAATGAAATTTCAATTTTACTCTTACAGGATCAGGAAGTCAAATGAATACAAAATTGAAATTATACTTATATTTTTATTCAAATGTCACAATATATTGTACAGAGTGAGCGAAGCACAATGTCTCTTCGAAACTTGGGAGGTGGAAGTGGTAGGCAAGTCAAAGTAAATAACATGGGAAACTTCTTCCTTTTTAGCCATGTTATGAGCATCCACAGATGCATCCTGGAAACAAATTACTAGCTATTTTTTTTTTATTTCAAAGAGGTGCAAACATACTTTTTTTTCATTAATAATCAACTAGGTACCTACGAGTTTTCTTATTTTCCTGAGGGAATCAACTTTTTCCGGTAAATGCTGAGGAAATAAAAATATACTGGGTACAGCATCTGCTTTCAAAAACCTAGCAATACCTGGTATATGCCTAAATAATCTGTTGGCAGGAAATGCTCCTCACAAAGCTTGCTGCTTTTAGTTGGAGTCCAATTCTCTTTACGAACTGCCTTTATCCATTATTCGAAAATATCTGGTCTTTTGAATAGAAAACTGCAAGAAATAATATTACTCAATATCAATATAATTATGAAAGTATTTAACTTTGACAAATAATATAGGTATAGTTTTTGAACATATTCTGAGACTTGGAACATTGTATACCTAACTGATGATCATTTCAAGAACTATATTTTTCATAAATCTGAGAACAATATTCAACTTACCCATGGAATGCCAATTTCCTTTTGTCTTGTTCGTTCTAGAATCCAAAGGCGACACAATAAATCACCATTGTTTATCAATATTAATCACAAACCTTCTCAACAATCAGTTCAGTGTTCACAACAACAAATTCAATCCTTTACAACAAAACACGCCAAATGAATAGATATTTCACCTCGTTTTTCACATAAACCAAGACAATGAACTTATGTCTTCACTTTCTTGCCTGTGTAGATGACAGAAAAAATTCGTGACTACTCTAATTATTAGATAAAAGAAAATTTATACACCAATCCACCATTAAACAACACGAGTTGGAAGAGGACAGGTATCCGTAAATCATGCTATCTTTGTTGCAGCTGCCCCTGACACACTTTGTGCTATTCGAGAGAACAGTCGTTTCCCTTCCAGTTGTATAGCATATACCAGGCAAGTAGGCCCCCATGGGCCCTTTTTGCCAACCCCTGCTCTCCACATATCTACACATCCCTCTTTCTGTTGTCCTTTTCGAACCTTCCCGTCCTTCTGATGAAGGTCAGGATGTCCGGCCACTCTAATTCGACCAAATCTTCCTGTTGTAGTTTATCTACTCCAAAGATTTCGAATCTCATCCTTCCATACGCCTCACACTCTCCGAGGAAGTGAAGTGATGTCTCCTCATCTTTTCCGCATTCACGGCAAGTGGGACTATATCTTCCACACCTATGAGTGATAGGTGTCTGCGTAAACTGTTGTGCCCTGTCAGTATCCCTATAAGAAGGCGCAGGACTTGGCGATCCCTGCCCAGTAACCAAGCCGTCTTTGGCTTGCTTGGACCGGCCACCAGGTCTCTCGATTGCCTGCAGCCGCCTATACGCCTCCAATATACTTCTAGTGCCTCGTCCGCCCATTTGTTGAGGGCAGACGAAATTTGGCTTCTTGTTATGCCCAGTGCAGGCTCCGGTCCCCAGAACGGTGTCGCGGATCCGATTCTAGCCAGCTCCTCGGCCACCTCGTTCCCGGGCACCCCACTGTGCCCCGGAACCCATACTAGTTCGACTTCCTTCTGTTCAGCTAGTTTCTCAAGAGCATCGCCACATTCCTGCACCAAAGCTGAGCTTGGTTTAGGATGACAGACAGCCCTGAGAGCCGCCTGATGACTGTCCGAGCAGATGTAAATCTTCTGCTCTGGTCCCTCTTTCACCTCTTGCCTCTCCGCTACTGCCAGAATGGCAAAGACCTCGGCCTGGAAAACTGTGGTATACTTTCCAAGAGCGTAGCTGAATCTCCCATATGCCTAATCCTTCTAGGTAAATTCCTGCACCTGAGTCCTGTTTGTCAGTTAGGCGCGATCCGTATGTATAACATACTAGACTCCCCGGGCGGAATTCCACTCTGTTCTATCT